CTCTTTCTATTATATCCTTTAAGACTACTAAGGTCTGAAATCTTTATTTTCTTTGTGATTTAAGGATTTAGGATCAATGTTCTTAATTGGAAATCATAGACTGGATGTTATTGAGGAGAAAAGAACAGGTTTGGTCTGAAACTTTGTTTAAACCTCGTTTGATGAGAAAAGGTTTAAAGGTAGCACTATATGGAACCCGATTGGTTCAAAAGTATGAGATTTGAATAGCTGCGTGATTAGCTTGGAAAGTGGAAAATGATTTGGTATTACGTTCTTGTGTATTCATATATTTATTTATATATATGAATAGTTGTTTTATAAAGGTTTTGGTGATCCTTCACCCTGCAATTACATGATTAGGATAACTCACTAGACCTCTCGGTCTAACCYTCGTTTTGTGATTTTAAATATGTGTTGCAGGAGGTACAGAAGGTAATGGAAAAGGAAAGATGTAATGCTTTTCTTATATGCGTTTTGGATGAGGAGTTGTTTTTGATGAACAGTTTTGTTTAGTGCAAGTTATGTATTTTGACTTTTTGGACCTTGTATTTGGTCATAAAAGATTCTTGTACTAAGGGACCTGAAAGGTAAATGAATATGTATTTCTTTGGTATGAAATATGTGTTACATGCAATATGTGGGTTGGGGCGTTACATTATCCTCTATTTGATTATATTTATCCGCAATTAGTTATACGAATTCAAAAATCGAGCTTTGGTAAGTTGTATTTTTGCATAATTACTTGTAATCTTGAATTTTATATGGTTTTGAGAAAGTGGTAATATTTTTATTTTTGAATAAAATATAAATTTAAAAATATCATAAAATGTTGAAAAAAATATCAATATCAGTATTAAATTGCTTTTAGACCTTTAACTCTAGAAGGTTTACCAGAAAGTTTTCTTGCTGCTCTTAGAGATGGAAGAAATCTTAATTGACAACAATCTTTGATTGGAATGATCCAATCCAGCCTGGCTCATGGGCCAGTCTATTTTGATGTCTATCCTAATTTATGTTTATCTTTATCTGATATCAATATTCTTGATTCTTTAACATTAAATGTTAAAACTCATGGTTATAATTATGCTGTAGGAACAGAGGTTATATGTATTTGCTACCGCATATATTTTAAACCCCTTTTTACTTTTAATCCTAGGTGTAAGAGGATTGATAAAGATCTTAATGAAACTATTCTCATAGAAACCAATTTTAACAGATTTAATATTACTACGCGTAGATCTATTAAATGAGATGAAATAATATTCCCAAAAAACTGGACTTTAACTAGGAATATTCCTAAGAATCCTATTATACAGAGTGATTTTAATAATATCACTCAAACTAATGAAAGATTTGTAAAAATTCAGTTTAACAATGAAAATCAGAGAAATAT